GAGGTGGTTGAGGCTTTCTGGTTGGATAGAATGGTATGGGGTTCTGCCTTGTGATGTTTATGGGTTCCATTTATTCCTGAGCTCTTTCTACCCGAGCCCCTCTTTGTTTTCCAGTGTGGTTTTTTTGCTGAGGGTTTGTTGTTTCTGTTATTCTTGGGTCTAGCTTTTATATTATTTTGTCTTGACTAGAGGTGGTTTCATCATGCTGCTTTTTTCTGGCTTTTTGGCTATGGTGTGGTCGTGCTTTTGCTATTTGTTTCTCTTTCTCTTTGGTTGTTATGGGGGTTTATTAAAATTTGGTGATTATTTTGTTTCTTTATTTCTTGGATGTTCTATGTTTCCTGCATTTCTCTTTGTGAGTGTTGTTTTAAGCATTTGATTCTATCTCCCTTGGGCTTATTGAGGCCAGTGATTGAGCTGCCTTCTTGAAGTTGTATTCATCGTAATTTCTTGGAGAATTATTAGTTTTATTTGTAGTTGTAACCCTTGTCTCTTTATCCTTGTATCTATTTGGGGTTTGTGTCTCTGTTATTTCTCATTATTAACATTGTGGTGGCCATGTGCTGTTCTACGAGTGTTGCATTATGGTGCCTTTATGCCTTGGGTTTGCAGGAGCTTGTGTTGTTTCAGTGTTCCTAGATTGTTCTGATTATGTTTGGGCTTCATGCTAGTCTGAACAATGGGGTTTTGGCCCTTTTGTTGACCTGCAAGGTTCTTTTTTTCTATCATTGTGGTTGTTTGGTTGGGAACTTATGCTGTTGATTGTTTTTTAGTTAGGATTGATATACAATCAGGGGGTATAATCTTCTTTATTTTTATTTTGGTTTTAGCCTTTTGGTGCATTATTTTGTTCTACAGGTGCCCTTTCTTGTTGGTAAGTATATTGATTAAATATTTGAAGGGAAGCAAAAGTTGCTCACTATTTTTTGCTTTTCTTTTCTTTTTTGGGTGCTCGTTCGGACGCACCATAGCATGTTCCTAGGTATTTTTGTAATCCTTATTAGTAGGAACCTCGAGCATAAAAGGTTTTTTGGATTTTATTTTGTATCTCTTTCGAGCAGTAGGGAGCTTGAGAGCCCTCTAAAGTCCTTTGTAATCTTTTTTTTTTTTTTTTTTTTTTTTTTAATCTTTTTTTTTTTTTTTTTTTTGATTAACACATAGGCCCCTTCATGGGTTTTCCTTAAAAAAAACTTAAAAATTCATAATTCATAGATCAAAGTTATTCTTTCAGCGACTAGCTATGGCTTTGGCAATTATGAGTGTGATTCTAGCTTTAACTATTGATCCTTGTGGTTTTTATTATAATTTTGTGTGGTTTAGGTTTTTTATTCTTTATTTTGAGTTATGTTGGTGCTTTCCCTATTCTCTTTTTCCTGAGGCCACTCGGCCTTAGGTCATTTTTCTTTCCTAATGGTGACTGGTCTGCCATCTTGATCTCCTAGTCCATGGGGTGCTCTGCCTTCAGGGTTAGCTACTGCTAGGAAATACTTCTTTAATAATGAAAGCTACCACTAAATCTTGATCATTTTTTGATGTTTTTGTTAGTGGTTCTTCGTCCAATGAACCTTCTTTCTCCTTCATGAAATCTTCAGTAAAATGTTTCCTCACAATTTTTATGTTTGATGAGGATATTATTGAACTTGCTAATCCTTATCAATTTACACTTGTTTGGAAGTTCTCATTCTGTAAACCTATCCTTTATGTGATTCATGTTTTATTTTTTTAGAAATTTGAAACTTTATGGTGTTTTTTCTACTAGCTTGCTAGATGCTAGAGATACATTACGATTCAATTATCCAATGATCTAGATTATAATAGGGTCTTTACTAGAAGATCATATTACATAAATAATTACCAAATGAGATTGCTTAAGTGGTCACAATATTTTGACATTAAGGATGAATCTCCAATTATTCCTATATGTATTCCATTTCCTAAACTTTTCCTTCATTTTTTTAATCCTCATGTTTTACATGCCTTGGGTTCCATATTTAGTATTCCTCTACAATTTGATCAAGCTAAAACATCTCAATCTAGACCTTCTGTAGCTAGGATTCAGGTAGAAATGGACATTAGCAAGAAACATACAAAGGAAAATTTGGCTTGGTTCTAAAGAAGCTGGTTACTTACAAAAAGTTGATTTTGAATTTCTTCTGAATTTTTGTAATCACTTAAGATTTTATGGGCTTCTTTTAATAATTATTTTGTTGCATATCTTCAACTTAAAAGACTAACATAGGTTTTAATAATTTATTGGAAACTAACATTAAGGAACAAAAGGTGCCAGATGGTCATAATTGGATTTCAAAGAATGGAGATGAAGTTTTCATTTGATGATTGAGAATGACATAGATTCTGACCCTTCCGATAAAGCCACTAGGGAATTAGCACATATTTCTGATGACAACAATCTATCCAAGCTTCCTATTGATACCCAAGATTCATTTGGAAAGGATATAATCAATTACTTGATTAAGCATCTACTGAGTGTAATGATTGTTTTTGATGATTAGAATACCTCTCAAGAAAATCAAAGGAATGATGTTTTAGATAAAGATACAGTTTCAGTGATTGGGAAAGGGAAAGATATTTTAAAGGAGGATGGTGGATTTAATGTGAAATCCGTTAACAGCCCTGTTTTTGTCAACGAAGAGATTGGTAAATTGAATTTGGAAGCTTCTTCCTCAAAACGAACAAGGATCTCTACTATCAAAAGTTTTAACTATACATCTCTGCCTTCTTCACCGATAAGGAAGGACTTAACGGCTTCACCTCAGTTGAAGTTTATAACCAGAAATGAAGATAAAGTGGATGAAGATTTGCGGCTAAGGAATGTTGATGATATTACAACTCCAATTGTAACTAATGAAGTTCCAAATAATCCTTCTCAACCACCGATCAGTCGGAATAATGTGGAGAAGAATTCAGTTTGGCATAAAAAATAGAACATCAAGGTTGATAGCCTGGAGCTGGGTTCTTTTCTTACTGAAGATGGAAAGGGAGTTAGACTGCTTGCTGAGAAGGAATTAGAGAATGCCAAAAGATTGCAGAAAGCCTTAGTTGTGAAGATCTTCGGGGATGACATTCCTTTTCATTTGGTTAGTATGGATTTAAGAAGACAGTGGAATAGTTTTGGGAAATTCCATATAACTGGTTTGGGACGTGGATGGATGTTATGCTCGTTTGAAGACTCGTTTGTAGTGGAGAACATCTTTTCTGGTGGACCTTGGTGGGTGAGAGGACAGGTAGTGAGATTGGATAAATGGTCTACTTCATTCAATCCTAATTCTCTCAAAGGCATTTCAGCTCCGGTGTGGATCCAGCTTCCCAATTTTCCGCTTCATTGCTGGGATGAGGTAAACATCTACAGAATAGCTTCAATGGTGGGCAAACCTTACCTTCTTGATGGAAACATGTTCCAATGGAGTTAAGGGAGTTTGCACGGTTTTGCGTACGTATCCCCTTGGATTTAAAACTCCCAAAAGGTATTTGGGTGGAAGGAACCATTGGAAAGTTTTATCAAACTGTAGAGTATGAAGGGTTTTCTAAAATTTGTGATGGGTGTGGAAGAATCGGTCATGTGGTTAATACTTGCACTGAAATTAATAAAGACAATGGTTAAGTTACTGCTAATGCAACTGGTTTATTTAAAGCAAGAATTCAAAAGGTAGAGGCTAAATCGGCTGCAGTTATTGAGAATGTAAAGGGTGACTCATGGATCCAGGTGAGACTTGGCAACAGAAGAATCAAGAGAATGGCTGATAGAAGAAACTTCTTTAATAGGATCTCTATTCCTATGAAAAAGTTATATGTTCCAAAACTTGGCACAGATAATTCAAAGAAAATTGTTGAACCAGAAGGAGTTTGCTCGAAAAATAATCATTCTATTCCAGAATCTATTGCAATGCCTTAAAAAATGTCTGAAGAAAATCTCGGATCTGATCTTGATATTAAAAGTCCAGAAAAACAGCAGGTTGAGGTAAATTTGTTTGAACTCTCTCTTAAAACTAACAATAAATTTGATGTATTGGCTGCTATGGAGGAGTCAAATCTGAATGTAGCTTTGGAATGTCAAGAGTTTGGCTGTGCAGAAGAAGGTGAAATTGTTGAAAATATTCCCCATAACATGTCAAATGTAGAAGCAATGTATGATGTAAAAACCATGCCAATTCACACGAAGGATAAAGATGTATATAACTCTGAGAAAAGTGTGAGTTGAAATATTTCTTCTGGAAAGAAGGTTAAGCTATTTAAAGAGCTGAAGTCTCTCGGACCGGGCAATATATTAGAACGAGACAAAAAAATGGATGGAATTAAAAATAAAAAGAATGGGGGACCTTCTCCCATCTTTAAGCAATGAATTCGATAATTTTCTGGAATTGTAGAGGAGCCAAGAAGGTGCAGGCTGCTCTATATTTGAAGGAAGTGATTAAAGACCATAAAGTTTTTTTTGTAGGATTGATGGAAACTAAAATGAATTCTTTGGAGAATTCTCAAATTCTCAGATTGCTGGGAAATAGTTGGGAATCCTATTTAGTTCCCTCTGAAGGTTTATCTAGAGGCCTGACGGTTCTATGGGGGAAAGACTTGGCTTCTTTCACAGTAGATGAAGTTTCCTCACAAATGATTGTGGGAAAATTACAGATTTTCAACAAAGGAATTTGGAAGGTAGCAACTATATATGGGAGCAATAATTATAGTGATAAAAAATCCCTTTAGGATTGTTTAGAGAAACAATGCTCGGAGGACTTGCCTACAGTGATAGGAGGAGATTTCAATTGTATTCTATGTCAAGAAGAAAAGAGAAGTGAAAAAAATTCCTTTTGTCTCAAGGAGCCAAAGATCTGAAGAACTTTATGATCAACAACGATCTACATGAGGTGAAGTCTATCGGACCTAAATTTACTTGGTGTAACAACAAATCCGGAGGAGCTCGGATTCTAGAGAAATTGGATAGATGCCTTATCAATTCCAATGCTTTGAATTCTATTCATCTTGCTATGGTGAAACATTTATCTCGTATAGCATCGGATCATTGTACCATTTTACTAGAGATTTTCAAACCTGTAGTGGTTAACAACAAAGAAATTCGTTATGAAGAAGTATGGGCAACTTACCTTGGAGCAGAGGCAATTGTGAAGAAATCTTGGAGCAAATATGTTGGGATGGATCCGGCATCTTCTCTTAATGTTAAATTTAAAAGAACTTTGAGATCACTTTTCTTCTGGAGCAAAGCCAAGTTCAAAAACCTTATATTTCTTTGGGACAAGTTGAAGGAAGAGATACAGGAAGTTCAACTGGAAGAGGGTGAAGTTGGGATTTCTTTTGAGAAGCTTCAGATTTTGAGATTCAAAATCAATGAGCTTAATATCACTCTTGCACGACTTAATACATGGTGGAAGCAAAGAGCTAAAGCAAGGTGAATAGAGGAAGGTGATTGCAATTCTGGGTTTTTTCACGCATTTGCTAATGCCAGGAAAAATACCAACTGGATTAGTCACATTAAGACTAATAACTGTAGTTTAACGGAGGATGGATATGAAATCCAGAAAGTGTTTTTTGAGTTTTTCAAACTTAAATGGAAACATAGGCATTGTATGTTGGAGGGCTGGCCTAAAACTTCAGTTATCATCAATGAGAAGGATCAATATGTGTTGGAAGCAGAGTTCACTAAGGAGGAGCTTCAAAGTATAATTGAAAAATCTGGAAGCAATATTGCTCCTGGGTTGGACGGAATAACATTTTCATTCTTGAAGAATTTCTGGAAACTGATAGCTGATGATGTTTGGATAGCAGTAAGCCAATTCATGTCTTCTGGAGAATTGCACATGTCATGGAAAGAAACTCTTATAGTCTTGATTCCGAAGACTCAAAATCCTCAAGAGGTAACCAATTATCAGCCTATTAGCTTTTGCTTGACCATTTATAAAGTTATTGCAAAAAAGCTCTTGAGTAGATTAGAGATGGTGATTCACAAATTAATCTCGGCGGACCAAGCTGCTTTCATCAAAGGGCGTTCTTTGTCTGATCATGTTCTTTTGGCACAAGAAGTTTTCAATAAATTCTGTTATTCTAAAGCTAGGAAAGGACTTTTGGCAATCAAACTTGACATGGAACAAGCATATGATAGTATGGGTTGGGAAGCTTTGAGGCAAGTGCTCTCTCACTTTAACTTTCCTAGTAAGTTTAAGGAGCTTATTTTACAGTGCATCTTAGATCCCAAATATTGTTTCTTGATCAATGGAAGGAAGACTAATTTGATTGAAGGAAATGTGGATTTAGACAAGGCTACCCTTTATGCCCTTATTTGTTTATTCTATGCTCTCAAGTCCTATCTGATGCACTATATGGTAGGAAAGGGGATGTAAGGATCTCTATTTCTCCCAAGGATCCTAGAGTGTCCCATTTTCTTTATGCGGATGATATTTTGATCTTCTCGGAAGGAAAGATTAAAGTTATTAAGGAATGGAATTCTATCATTAATAAGTATTGTTTATGGTCGGGCCAGAAAGTTAACAAGGGTAAATCTATGATTCTTTTTGGAAAGTATACTAATCATAGAATTAAAAAAAGAATCTCCAATCTTCTTAATTTTAAGGTGGTTAAGGAGTTGAATTACCTTGGTGTGAAGATGACCTTGAGAGTGGTATCTTCAGATTTCTCTAAACTTATGGAAGTTGCAGCTAATAGATTAAACATTTGGGGAAAAAAGTTCATCTCTTATGAAGGAAAGATGATTCTCATAAAATCAGCATTCCTCTCTCTTGCTATGTTCTTAAGTTCAATTTCTCTTGTTCCTTTGAGAATTTTAAAAGACTTTGATAAAATGTGTTGAAGCTTTTTGTGGAAAAAGAAAGATGGGAATGCAGGTATTCATTATGCTTCTTAGGAAAGGTTTTGCAAGACCAAGGAAGATAGCGGTAGAGGATTATTCTCAGTTGTGTCAAGAATAGGTCCTCTACGGTCCAAGCTGGCATGGAGTTTCTGTACGAAGCCATCAACTTTGCTGAACCAAATTTTAAAAGCTAAGTATGGAGAAGTCGTCTGGCTGACTCCAATGAAAAGAGATTGCTCACCAACGTGGAAGATCATCACCATGGGAGCTCATTATCTTAGAAACATTATTAGGTGGGATGTTTCTAATGGCAATTCGATCAATTGGATGTTTGATAGCTGAATTCTAGACAAGTGTATAACAAGATGGCCAACTTTTGTTAACTGTCTGGAACCAAATGAATACAAGCTTAGTTATTTTATTTTGGAAGGAAAGTGAAATACTGATCATATTCAGCTAATATTTGGGGATCAACTGATGAAACTTATTACTCAAATCCCAATTCAGGCTGATAGAGGGTATGATCTAATTGAGCTCAATTCTATATTTTCAGGAAAGTCAATCGCTGCTTTGGCGTTTCAAGCATTGGGTGATAAAAATGAAGGTAGTGCTATATGGAATTGAATGAAAAAATTAAAGTTAAGACCGAAGGTTATGCTTTTTTGGTGGAGACTGTATAATGATGCTATTCCTTCTAATGATTTACTAGTTAGAAGGAAAGTGAGTAACTTCCCAGGCTGTCCGAGAGGATATAAAGAAGATGAAAATTATTGGCATATTGCAGGAAACTGCTCGAGACTACATGAAGTGATTTCAGTGCTCAATAGCTGCGGCTTCAAAATTCCTATTTTTGTCAATCTACATGAATGTTTGGACGGCTTAAAGAAACTTGTTAGAAAGAATCCTCTCACTGCTAATATGTATTGTACAACTACTTGGCTTGTATGGAAAAGTAGATGAAAATTGATTCATGATGGCATTGAAGACTCAATCAATTCTTTGGCAGCAAATATGGTATCTACTGCTATAGTTAGCAATTTTATTAATCATTTACCGAAAAACTGGGATACTAACCAGCGAAAGCTATCTTGCTCTTGGTATCCTCCTCCAACCAGGTGGATTAAATTAAATGTAGATGCTTCTATTTTATCAAATAATGCTGCTGGATTCGATGGTGTTGTAAGAGATGAGAAAGGAAGATTTCTTATAGCTTTTGAAGTAAATCTAATGCATTAGGACATTGCTCAAACTGAATTTATGGTAGTTCTATATTTAAAATATATCATCCGTGAGTGGATGTTTGAAGCTCAAGGAATCCTAATTGAAGGAGATAATTATAATATTATAAAACTTCTTCAATCGGCTATGAAAACTTGGAAGGTTAGTAAGTGCATTAAAGATAACTTGTCTTTCCTTCTTGATTTTAAACAAGTTTTGTTTTCTTATACAAAAAGAGATTGTAACAAATTAGCGGATGTTTGTGCTAATTTGGCTTTAAAGAGTTCTTTTGTTTGGGATGACATTAGCTTTGATGATATTCCTCCTTCATTCTTGTTTTACATGAAGGAGGAATGTGATTCTTTAGGTTTACTTTAATTAGCTTGTTATTAGGTTATTATTTCCTTTTTTAATGCAATTTGCATTTCATAAAAAAAAAAAAGATAAAGATGAAGTTGTTGAGGATGGACCCATTACTAATTTACCTAGGGTTCACTACATTGTAAATCTTATCAATGAGGTGGGAATAGAAAATAATTACACAAGTTGACATGGATGGTAACAACATTGAAGAGGGGTAAATCCTTGATCAAAATTTTAAATCTCTTATGGCTAATCAAGATAGTTTAAATAATGGTACTATGTATACTCCTAATACTAAATGGAAAGCTGAGAATAATGAGGAAGCTCATGCAAAAGTCTCTAAAAAGAAAAATTAGAATAACAAGAACTTGGTTGATAGCATCCCGATGTTTACTAGGGGCTCAAATGTTAACTCATCATCAAATGGTTAAGTCTCCCATTTGGAACATTAGGGGTGTGGGGGATTCCTTGTCTAGGGACAGAGTCAAAAATCTTTCTAGGATACATAACATTAATTTACTTGTCTTAATTGAACCTTTAGTTTCTTCTTCTAAGCTGGATCACGTGCGTAGCAAACTTTGTTGTTATTCAGCCATCAATAATTATTCCAATAATATTTGGATTTTTTGGAATAGTTTGGTTTGTTTAGACATTATTGCTAACTTTTCTCAAATTGTATATACTAATATAAATATTTATCATTTTTTTGCCTATGCTTATTTTATTTATGCTTCTTATTCTAGATAAGAAAGGAAAACTTTATAAAAACAACTTTGTGATTTTTCCTCGATTACTTTACTCCTTGGATGATTGGTGGTGATTTCAATACTATTACTAATGTTTATGAAAGAATTATGGGAAGCCTCCAAATTTTCTATTTATGGAAGATTTTAATGAAATGATTAACAATGGTAATCTTCATGACATTGGTTTTTGTGGAATGCTTTTACTTAAAATAAGCCTACTATGTGGCAAAGATTAGACCACATTTTATTAAATAATTTCTAGATTTCTTCTTTTTCTATGACTCGCATTGATCATTTAAGTAGAAATTTATCTAATCATTCCCCCTTACTTTTAAATATTTTTCAACAAAGTAGCAACACTCCTGCCCCTTTTAGATTATAAAACGTCTGGATTTTAGATGATTCATTTTTTAATATTGTGAATAGCAATTGGCATGCTCCTTTATTCTCTTCTAATAATGTTGAGGGTATGACTAGATTTTGTTTCAAGCTCAAAAGGATTAAATAAAAATTAAACTCATAGAATAAGTGTGTTTCTTAAGAATATATTTCCAAATATTTCTCATACTGAGGATTTGGTTAATAGTGCTGACATCACTACATGAATAACGCCCCTCCTCTGAGAATCTTGTTTTACTCAGTGAAGCTAAGGTCACTTTGTTCAAACTCCAAGAAAAAGAGGAGGTCTTTCTAAGACTAAAGGCTTCTAAATTTCTGGTTTAGGGAGAGAGAAACACTTATTTGTTTTATAATAATGCTAATTACAAGAAAGTTGCTAGTCATATTCACAAAATTACTACTTCTAATGGTGTCTCAATTGATTATACTGAGTTGATTTATGCTTTTGGTATTGATTATTTTAATAAGGTTTTCAACAAAAATTTCTCTCCAAATTTAAACATTGATTGCTCTTTTATTCCTTCTCTTACTACTGAGGCGGACATTAAGTTTTTCACTTTGTTGTCTTTTCAGGATGAAATTTGGTTAACTCTTAAAAGCATGAATATTGATTCTATTACAGGCCCTGGTGGTTTTGAAAGTTCATGTAGGTTGTTAAAACTTATAGAATTGTCCCAAGGCTAACCAAGAGGGGGGTGTGGGTGGGGGTGAATTGGTTATTATAAAAAACTCATGGAAATATAAAAACCTTCTTAGATTCTTTTTGAATGTTAAATCACAAATCCTAAAACATATATTTATTTATAGAAATGATTACTACAAATATTTTTTAACCACTAAATTTAAATGCAGTAAAATAAAAATGTGGTAAAAATAAATTTATTAGAAGAACACCAAATTTTATTCAGTCTAACTAGACCTACATCCACTCCCTGGAGACTCCTCCAGGTATTGCACTTAAAACAAGTGACTCTCCTTTTACCTCCCATAACAACGTGGAAAAGCCCTTACAAACCCTCTTCCATGAACCCGATGAGCAAGAGAATTGTCACCTTTAAATCTCTCTTTAAGTTATGACAACATACCTTCTCATGCTTTTTCAACCTCCTAGTGAAGGTAGAGTAACTACATGTCCTTTTTCACCCTCCTGGTGAAAGCAGAAAACTTTGATCCAGTCTTGAAGATCTTCTCTCAAGAGCCTCCAAAGATGTTGGGTAGGAACTTAAAGAAGACAAAGAGATCCTCACTTTGGGCGACCTTGTTAATCCTTCACAACTCCCCTTTCTCTTGATCTCTCACTCTTCACTCAAAAAATCTCTTGCAAACACACTCTCAAAAAGTTACTCTAAAGATAAATTTGAAGCAAAGGATTGAGTTACGCTTTTTTGGACTCTATATATAGAAAACATTTGAAAAACTACCCAAAAACTAAAATTTTCAAGTGAATCATCTTACATTCATACTATACAATGGTAGATTAAACAATTTGTATAGTTCATAAAATTAGGGCTTCATTTAGTACAAATTGGGAGGAAGTTTGTATCATACAGTGTCAGTGGTCTGTATGAATTTAGATCGTATTGCACAAACAATTCGAAATAAAATGTGTTCATTTGGTATGATATTGTACAAACCTAATTTCATACTCTATCAGTCGTTCGTATGACCTGACATCATACCATATGAATAATTCAAAAATTAACGAGATATTTTGGTATAATATGGTACAAAAAAAAATTTATACTCTGTTAGTCGTATGTACAAATTTAGATCATACTATAAGAACAATTCAAAAGAAAATGTGTCT